GAGTGGACTTGGAGCCTGGGCACAGGAATCCTTCTAAGGAAATAAAGAACACAAAGAAGCAGTTAGAAGCCCGTCTTCTTCACTTCACTGGACAAAGAATAGGAAGTTGGGAAGAGGTTAACTAAATTGGGGGTAGGGAGAAGGTCAGAGGGTTTGCTGTTTTTGAGACAGGGTCTGGCTAAGTTTCTTAGGGCCTCGATAAATTGCTGAATGAGGCTGGCACGAACTTGCGATCCTCTTGCCTCAGCCTCCTGAGCTGGGATTACAGGCCAAAAAGCAGTTGTTTTAACAAAGCCAGTGCAGAATTGTTGCGATGGCTGCAGCTTCTCATTGAATGAAGATAAGGATGTGGCTTTTACTTCCAGTGGGCGGGGAGGGAGGAACTTCACCTAGTAAACTCTCCATCTGTTTGGTTTCTTGTTTTCCTTTTTAGGTGAGCGCCAGGACCTGGCGCTTTGGATCTCGGGACTGTTGCATGCAAAGCAAGTGCTCTGCCACTGAGCCACAGCCCTAGTCTCATTTTCTACTTTTAAGAAACAGAAAGGGGGTCAGAACAGTCTTCTGCGGGTGCTGGAGGGCCAGGTCCTGAACTCCATTCTTATATAACACAAAACTGGAGGTAAACATACAGATGCATTTGCCTTTATCTGAGTAGGGCAGACATCCTCAGAGGACAGCTCCTACCGTCTGTTTATAGACTCCGTCCGTCCACAGCTTGCTGATCAGCTTTGCTGGGTTTGCTGCACGTACAAATGAGCCCCAAGCCCCAGCCGATCAGCTGTGTCTGACCCCTGCTTATGTGTCCTGTTGGCACAGTGTGGCTGTGCTCTTCACGCCACCCTCACTCTGGGACCCAGGCTGAGTAAGCAGTGGCATCTGGAACGTGCCAGTCTCCTGACAGGCAGGTGAGGGCAGGAGACAGAGGTCACATCATGGCTCTTACAGCCACACAGATCTGCGGCAGGTCACTTCTGCTCATGGGCTGCTAGCCAGAGCTCGTTGTGTGTCTTGGAGGGTGACAGGGCACCGTCAGGTCTAAGAATAAGCTGGCCTGCTGTGGCACAGATGCTGGCCGGAGACCCACGACTCCTGGGTCAGAGACAGAGGACTCGACTCCTCACGGTGGTGCAGATCACATGGGCCACTGTGTGTCGCCCCACGTTCCAGGGCCTGTCGGGGCTGCGCACACGGTGGGCATCCTTGCTGCTGGGGGGCCCTGAGCTGGGGGAGTCCAGTGTCCCTGGACTGCACTGAGCTTGCTGCTCTTCCCCTCAAGGGTTTTCAGGACAAACTCCACGCTGGGCAGCTGCTGGGTGGACAGTGTTGAGGGCTTTCCATTGTTGACACCCTCAGCAGTGTGTGGGGACCCAAGAGGGCCCTCAGACAAGTGACCCTTCAGGATGAGCTCACACTGGAATGACAGCCCAGTCTGCCCGCTGTCGGATGTCTGACAAGAGTGGTCTCAGGTGGCCGGCCCTGAGCCCGTTCCTGCCGCTCACCCTGAGCATAGTTGGGGTGCCTTATAAGCAACAGACACTTTTCTCCTCAGTTCTGGAGGCTGCAAGATTTAAGGTCAAGGTGCCAGCAGATTTGGTGTCTGGTGAGGGCCTGTGTCTGGTTCACAGAGCCCCTCACAGCGTGGACAGAGGGAGAAGAGTCTCTCAGGGCCTCTGAAGTAAAGGCAGTGATCCCAGTCGTTCCAAAGGCCCCTCCTAACACCCTCACAATGGAGCGGGGACAAATCGTGGGCATTGGGTACAGTTACAGCATGGGGGCCAGCAGTGCCATGGTTGGCATCTTGCTCTGTTGGGAACTGGGTTGCCATTGTGTCACAACGATGCTGTCTCATCTCCTCCTCTTCTTCTTCCTTATTCTGAGAAGCCATAAATAAACAAATGAATACGTTGGGTCCCCGTGCAACAGGAAGTCCTCATCTGCTTTTCTGTGAACAGGGTGAGCTGTCTTCCCACGTTTGCCTCACACTGTGGTTTGGCTTCCTTTTCTTTGATTGCTGAACGTGGCTTCCTGCCTCCCCAAATGTCACCTCTCTGCTCTTGCCCGAGTTCTGCAAACACTGGGAAAGGTCTGCCCAGGACACAGATGCGTACATGTGCCTGAGGAAGGGTCATTGATAGGGTGGGGATCTCTGGACCCAAGACAGGTCCTGCTGAGTCACATTGGATGGGGCCTCCTGTACCTTGTCTGAGTCTCAGACCCTGATGTCCACCTTTGCTGACCACACAGTATGTCCTCAGCCTCTGGGAGCATGCTCTCCACACCCTGGGAAGCGGGGACCCCAGTTTACCTGTGGGCTGGAAGATGCTGAGGCCTCCAGCTGCGTCCCAAGTGGACCCTGCACATGCCATCCTGCCTGTCCCCTCCAGCAAGGCCTGAGATGTGCACCAGGAGAAGCGAGCCTCAGGCAATGACTCCAGAGCCCCTGGTAAAGGACAGCTGACTTTGCCCAGTCCTGCAGTCCACACACTGCCCGTGAGCTTGGGGGTACCGGTGGCTCAGGGGTAGGACACTTGCTTGGCATCCTGTGCACAAAGCCCTGGTTTAATCCCTAACACGCTGAGCCCATTGCTTTCAGGGCAGACTCCTGACCCAGTGTGCCTCATTCCCTCCAGAGCAGCTCAGCACTCACCCTGCCTGGGGGCTGCCCCCCAGCACTGCTGCAGGACTGACCCTCTTGGGTCAGACTCTCTGAAAGCAGAATGGGGTCGGGGGCTCGCAGGTCACTCAAACTGCACCAAATGAATATCAAAAACTGAATGCACATCCAATGCACTGTCCACACGCAGACCCACCCGTCCCCTGCAGAGCCGGCCCTTTGCCATAGCACTCGGGGGTGGACCTTCAGGGAGCCTGCTCTGCTGTGATGGTGCATCCCACACAAGCGTGGAGATCCACAGTGTCCCCCTGAGGGCCCTGCTCCTCAACTGGCAGGTGGACCCACAGGGTCCTGCCTGTATTTTTCCCAAGGGCACTGTGCCCTCTTCACCTCTGGGAAGAGGAGGTTAAAAATCAAATGTACCACAAGCATCTGGGGACTCTCCATACCTTCTGCTCAGTTTTACTGTAAACCAAACTACTCTAAAAAATAAAGTCCAAATACATCTGGGTTGTCATCAGCCTGTCTCAAGCGGGGGGCAAAGCCCAGGCTCTGCCAAAGAATAGGTGTTGTGCCCAGGTGGCCCCTGCAGCAGGACAAGGACCATGCCTGCTGCTTCCCTGCATGGGCAAGAAGGCCCTCAGTGGCTGCGATGGCCAGGGCCCCTGAGCTGAGGCTCAGTTTCCCACCAGGAAGCGGTCACTAGTTCAGCAACGCCCGTGAGAGCTTACAAGCTCTGCCGCGTCTGGGATCCTTCCACCGGGTCTTCACCTCTTTATCTCTTCACTGCCCATTTTTGCCCAAACTCTCTCAACCTAATAACAATCAGGGAAGGATTTTCCAAGGAAAAATGACACGTATCTGGGATTAGTGGAGCGTTGCAAGGGGAACTCGCATGTCACAATGAGCTCCAGCCTGTTCAGAAGGCTGAGGCAAGGAGACACTTTTGAAGGCAAAACGTGGAGGGTGACGTTGACACAATAATCCTGAGCCACCAGCATGAGTAACAAGGGTGATGCTGGCCAGGGACTGGATGGGCAGTTGCCAGGGAAAACTGCCCCACGGAAGGCGGGGGCGGGGGCTCTGAGCGACGGGCCCTCTCTGTGGGCCACTTGGGCAGAGCCTAGGCCAGGGGAGGGGTTTCTGTGTGAGGGACACACAAGGGGCCCGCCGGCAAGGCTGTAGGTGATGGCAGTCTGGTGACCCTCTGCTCCTGACCGTCTCCCAGCTTTACTTATTCCTGGCTCAAGTTCACCCTGAGAACCCTCCAGGAAGGGGAGCAGAGAGCTAGGAACAGAGGGCTCCCCCAGCTCAGGGTCTCAGCGGCAGAGACACCCGCTGTGTGCAGTCCGCATGGTGCCAGCATGGCCCAGGAACCCCAGAGGGCACGGGGCCCCTTGGTCCAGGTATGTACGTTGGCAGGTGAGATGAGACCTCTTGCCCCACAGCTGGGGAGGAGACCGGTCAGGGCCATGCTTCAGGGAAACAGCGGGATGGAGGCAATGAGGGGAGGGGCCCTAGCCCACAGCCCCACCCTGGAGGTCCCACCTCCCAGCCATGCCCCCAGCCATCTTTCCCTGGTGGACTCCTGGCCCTAGGAGCCCACCCTGAGCCCCCAGGGCTGCCCCCCGCAGGGCAGAGCTAGGGCCACCCGCTTCTTCCTCTGACTCCACACTGGGCTCTCAGCATTTTTCCCGGCTGGCCAGTTCCTGTTGGCGCCTGTGTCCTCTCCACGTGTGTCCTGTGGGCACGGCCCTGGTGGATGGAGGGTAAAGTGACTGGCATGGTGCTGGGGGGGCACAGGTGGGAGGGTCTGCTGCAGAGGGGTCCAGGTGGACAGGCGCCTCTGACCTGAAAGAGTGGATTCCTGGTCACTCCATGCTCAGCCAGGTTCCCTCCCAGGGCTGACCCTTAGCTACCTGGAGCAGCTGCTGTCCAGTGACTGGCGGAGGAGGGTCAAGCTGACTCAGCTGAGGCTTTCCGGAGGCCACGTGGCAGGATGGCACCTTCCTCTTCCCCATCCAGCACCCCACCCCCACCCCCGGTCTCCACCTCAGTGTCTCCTCTTCAGGGCCCCAGAACCTGGCACTGAGGTCCCACCAGGCCCTGTCCCTCCAAGGGCCCTCCCTGATTAGACACCCCACTTCTGTCTAGTGGCCTCTTTTCCACGGCACAGTTTACGAGCAGACTGTAGCAAGGCCGGCACACTGTAGCAAGGCCGGCAGACTGTACCAAGGCCCGCAGACTGTAGCAAGGCCGGCACACTGTAGCAAGGCCGGCAGACTGTAGCAAGGCCGGCAGACTGTAGCAAGGCCGGCACACTGTAGCAAGGCCAGCAGACTGTACCAAGGCCCGCAGACTGTAGTAAGGCCGGCACACTGTAGCAAGGCCAGCAGACTGTACCAAGGCCCGCAGACTGTAGTAAGGCCGGCACACTGTAGCAAGGCCGGCACACTGTAGCAAGGCCGGCAGACTGAAAACCCCCCTCCCCCCACCACCGAGAAGCTGGCTGGTTTCAGATCCCTGGAGGAGGGAGTGCCCCGTGTTACCAAGGGCCACGTGGGGAAGCACCGGGGGTCTGTCGGAGGCAGAGGAAACGAGGGCCCGCTGGGGCAAGAGCCTCCATTGTGGTTTCTGTGGTAAAGGCCAGGCGAGGCAGGGTGAGTGGGCTGAGGACCCACAGTGTGAGACATTTCAGTGGACTCTGGGAGGCAGGGACTGTCCCTCGTTGCCCAATGACCTGGCTCTCCTGGGGAGGGCAGTCTGCCCAGGGTGAAGAAGCTGTCTGAAATCCAAATACAGAATAAAGCCACCTTCTTTGGACAGGCGTCCTGCACCGTGCTGTTCCCACAGACCTCACACAGCAGGTGGGTGTGGCCCTTGACGAGACATCTCTGGGCACCCCTGGGAAAGGCCGGGGGCTCCAGGATGAACCTCCACGGAGCCCTCTAGCAGCCTCAGGTGCTGTGGCCAGCTGCTGGGGAGCATCGTCCCCCTCGGCTGGCCACATCTCAGCTCACAGCGATGCTCTTAGACCCAGCTCCTGCTCCTGGATCGAGCTCCGTGGGCCCTGGAAAGAGCACGTTCTGCTCCTGAGTCAGGCTAAGTCCACCTCTGTGCTTGAGGTCTTCGGCCTGCTCCTTCTGCCAACCTGGGAGCCGTGGGTGGGGTGCCCTTCCGTCCCGTTGTGCAGTGCTGCTCAGTTCATCTGGAGCTTTGCCGTTGGGTGATGATCCAGAACGGCCAGTCCAGAAGGGCCCTCCCGTGCCCCAGGGCTGGGGGACCCAACAGAGGCAGACAGTCTGCTCTGTGCCCAATGAGATTTACTGGGGACTTAGGGACAAAGTTGCCTGGCAGCAGAAGAAGGGTCTGCCCCATGATTGGGTCAGAAGGAGGGGCTGTCACACAGCCAAAGGTCCGTGGCTCATCTCAAGCCCACGTGCAGGTCGGCAGGCCCCGCTCTGGACCACGGCTGCACGACAGCCCACGTCCCACTCCCATGGCCTGCCCTTTAGAGCTTGCTGGGAAATCATCCGGGGAACGCAGGCCAGGTGCTCAGAGGCCACAGTGGCCAAGACACTTAGGGCGGCACCCGAGGTCAGGCGGGATCCCCACAGTGGATGTGGCTTTCTGGTGGATTGAGCCCCCCAGGGTAGTGAAGTCCCTCCTTGTGCCTGTGGACTCCTGGGGGTGGCGTCTCTGGGGTAATGCGGTCTCCCTCACGCCTGCCCAGTCTACCCACAGCAGATATTTAGAATGGGATTCTCGCCGATGGCATTCTCTTCCACAATCTGCCACTCTCTGCCTCTCTGTCACTGACAGAGCCACTGTCTCTGCCTGGGCCACTGACATTAACATTTAACTCTTTATTAATGTTCCACAGATTTAAAAAATGGGTAGACAGATACAGAGAGAATCAACAAGAATAGGGTATAAATTCTGCAAAACAGAATTGAAACTCGCATAATGAAGGAAATTATATTTCACATGAAAAAAAATGACCACTCCAAAAAAAAAAAATAAAAGGGAGAGGAAATAAAAAGCAGCCCACATCCCTCTCTGCACACCTGGGCTGAACATGGAGCTACAGAAAGGAGGCCACGGAGCTCCCTGAGCCTGCGGGCAGGCAGCAGCTCTGAGCCTGGGTCGCCCTGCAAGGGGCTCGGCATGGAGGAGCCAGCTGTCCATCAGCAGGAGCTGCACAGGCAGAGGGGCCGGCCAAGTCGCAAGCTGCCGCAGTCCGGCTGCAGCAAAATAACCGGGGGGGTGACCAGCAACTTGTGTACATTGATACAGCAGGAGTGGGAGCTGTTCATTGTAGGACAGGAGGGGTCTATATACATAACTAATTACACACAGCTTATCTTAATTAACATAAAGGAGATACAGCAGTCAGCCAACCAGGAATCTCCACACTTAAGGGCTCGCTGGCGTGACTTCACAAACCACTCCCTCTGCAAAATGCCAGGCGCCATCCCGACTAGTTTACAGACCCTAACAGCAAGCAGAGCCAGAGACCCGAGTGGACCTGGGCTTACACCTCCCAGTGCCCCCGCACGCACACACCCGCACACCTGGCTCCTGGTCTGCACGCACACATCAGTATCTGCCGCACACGTGCAGGGGAGTGATCCTAGGTCTGTCCCCCCACACCCGGAAGCTGGCTGGCCCGTCACTGTGGCTCCTGGGGTGGGTCTGACACTCTGTTCTTTAGGAAGCAACCAGGGCTCTTTGGAGGCCAGGCCCTGCTGGGCGGGAACTTAGGGACGCTGTCACTGAGGGGTGGGGACTGGGCAAAGGAGTGCTCTGGATGGAGCCAGGGACTTGAACCCTGGGGGCAGAACTAGAGACTGTAGTCAAGGGGCAGGTGAGCAGTGTCAGGGCAGAGGGGAAGAGACACCCTGCCATCCCTCCTGCTGAAGCAGTTTTACAGTTAGGTAGTCAGTGTAGTTAGGTAAATCGGGTCTAATATCGAGTGAAATCTAAGATGGAGGCCATGCTGGGAATGGCTCAGGGAAAACACACAATTCATGGAATGTTAATGAAGTTCCGGAAAGGCCCTAGGCCAAAGTCCACCTGGAAGAAGTGTTAATGAACAGCCCCCAACAGATTTGGAGATGGCCCATCCCAGAGAAGTGATAATCCCATCCCAAAAGGTGATAATTAGGTCCACCTGGGTCCCACTCCTCGGGCCCTCCAACGTACATTCCATCACCAAAACTATAAAAAGGGGAACACATTGCCCGCCAACTGGATTCCACCTCCTGGGTCCCCTTCTTCCTCCGGGAGAATTCTTTTCTGCTGTCCTTTAATAAACTTCTAATCTCTACTCTGACCTTGCCTCGCGTGCTTCTTTGGTGTTATTCTTCAACATCGGGGAAGCAAGGACTCGTCACCGGTCAACAGCGGTAACACTGCCACTCCCTGAGGGAAGAGCAGGAGGCTGGGACAGTGGAACTGTGCCGCCATGACGAGGTGCTGCTGCCACCGCGTGCCGCAGGGGAGTCCGGTGGTCAGTGAGATGCACACAGTGGTGGGCATCTAACCAGAATATGTACTTTATGACAAAAGTGAGAGGACAGAAACCACTTACAAAATCACCCCAAATTGGAATAGTCACTTAATGCCACACTCCTGGCAGTCCCAGCCCCGTGAGGTAGCGTCCACAGACACACCCTCCAAATGAGCAGCCTGAGGTTCGGGAGGGCTGGAGCCAGAGGCAGCCTCGCTGTGTCCTCATGGTGCTGGGCCTCTGCAGGACGCTGCACCAGGGCTGCTGGGGGGGCTCTGGACCCCCTTTGACCGATGGGGACCGCTGTGACATCTCCCTGAGCCAGAGCCCTGTCTCTCCTGCTCCTGCAGCTGGAGCTAGCCTAGGGCAGGTGCCGCACTCCTGCCAGGTATGCGTCTGCTCCCGGTAGGTTGAATCACCCGGTTCCCAACCCTGTGGCTCATCGATGGGGGCCCACTGCCCTCAACACCGGTGCTGTCTCCTCCTCCGCCACCGTGGTGACTTTTGGAGCCTGGGTGACTGCAGACTCACCGGCTTCCTCCGCTACTTGCGGCTGCAAGGAATGAGGCAGGGTGAAGACCTGCCTTCAGGGCCCCACCCCAGCCTCCTGGTTCCCAGGGGCACCCAAGTCCATTCAAGGGATCAGCACGGCTGCAAGATAAGGACCCAGGGCCACTGACCAACTGGGAGACCCCTCCCACCCTCCACCGGCCTAGAACACCAGCCCCAGGGGTCGGGTGGGCCTTGATACCTGCAGCACAGCCATCTCGCTGGGCTCAGAGCCTGTAATACAAAGACAGCGTCAGGAGGGGCCAGAGTCCCCCACCAGGGCCCACAGGCCCACAGAACGGGGTGGCAGCCAGGTCTTGGGCCTCTTGCTCTGTGGCCTTTCCCCAGAGAATGACCTTTTCTGAGACAAGGTGAGATGGTCCAGGGACGTAGCTCCCTACCAGGCCTCATTCCCGGGGTCTAACATAGGGAAACAGGCCCTGGCCTGATGCTACGGCTTAGACGGGAGGTCGCCCCCAAAGCCCATAAGGGAGACCATTCAGGAGTGTTCGGAGGTGAGACGGGTTATGGACGCTGATCAGAGCATCGGTTCAGGGGCAAGGGTCCACCGCAGGAGGGGTGGGCAGGGGTGCTGTTCCTGGTGTCCCTGGTTCCATGTCCGGAGCTGCTTCCCTCCCCCACACTCTCTGCCTTCATGTTCTGGCTCACTTTGGGCCCAGAGCTGTGGAGTCAGCCACCTGTGTTCTGAGACCTCTGAAACCATGAGCCCCAAATAAGCTTTTCTCCCTCAAAAACAGTTCTTGTGAGATCTTTGGGTCACCACAGAGAAACAGTTGCCGACCGCGCCTGGCACCCCCAGGCCAAGGCTCGCTGCAGCCCCACATCACCTGACAGCAGGGACGGCACTTCATAGAGGAGGCCCCGTTCCCAGGAGCAGAGCCCCTGGGTTGGGCTGAGAAGGGGGACCGGCCACTCCTGGCCTGCTGCAGTGCCCTGCACCTGGGAGACCCAGGGCTGAGACACAGGTGTCTGACCCAAAGCCCAAGCGTGTGACCCACCTGGCCCCTTGGCTTTCTGTGGGGTGCCTGCTCCCCTGGACTGTGCCCAGGGCGGCACACTCTGCGCTGAGCCTGGCACAGCCGGGGAGGAGAGTGGAACGCTGGCCAAGGGCTTGTGGGTAGGTGGACGATGCCTGGGCTGCCCAGTGGGGACACAACCTTGTCCTTGGTGGCCAGCCACCGACCCCCAGCCCCAGGCTCTCCCTCCCCACAGGCCCCACAGGCGGATGGGGGCCAGGGCCCCTGCTCCAGTGGGCAGCAGGTAGGACCCTCGGGTCCCCCAGGGAAGCCGCCTGACACCTGGGCCCCGGGCAAAGCAGGAAACCCAGCCCCCACCGCTAATGATGCCTCGGAGAAGAGCCAAGAATCCCGGGGATGTCCTGGTGGCTGCCCCCCAGGGCTTGTGGGGACACAGTTGTGGCGTCCCTGAGCTGCCCCTGCTGGGGCCCTAACCCTGACAGAAAGAGCCACACTGCTTACCAGATAGCCTTTTCCTCCTCACCCACATCATCAGGACGATCACCACGGAGAGGGGGAGGACGGACACAAAGACATAGAACCACCGGGACAGGGAGCAGGAGACGTCCCTGCTGCTGGTCCCCCGCTCGGCTTCCACGGCAAAAGGTCCGCGGCACCTAGGGGACAGCAGTCTGTGAACCGAGGCCCTCAGACCCCAGGAGGGTCCTGCTCTGGGTGGCTCAGTGCGGCTCTGTGACCGCAGGCTTGTCCCACTCGCCCAAGCCCTTTGGGGAAGACAGAGGCAGAGAGACCAGGGAGGGAGCCTGAGCTGGAAACGAAGGGAAAGCCCCGGGGCGTGGACGAGAGTCAGATGGCAGGGCCTGCACCCTCCCTAGGGCGAGCAAACCTCCACCACAGGGCCCCCCAGGACCCAGGTCAGTCCTGGGGCCTGGGACTTGGCTCAGGAGCAGTGGGGTCCTCACTTTGAGAACTGCTCCTTCCAGAAGTGCAGGCAGCCCCCGACCTGGACACCCGAGACCCAGGCCCACAGAGGTGGACGGTGAGCAGCAGCTCTGCTGGGCTGCTCCAGGCAGGACCCACCTGCACCTGCAGGAGCCACATCAGCGTGGCTGCAAGGACCCAACAACGCAGCTGCTCCAAGGCTGCGTTCCAGACTCACGTGGCCTGTTTGTGGGGTGCAGGCCCCTAGCTGCTCTGCTGGTGACAGAGGTTCCACCCAGTGTGGGACATGAGGCACTGCCTCTGGGGACAGGGCCCTCGTTTCCCAGGGCAGTTGGAGGAGCCCCTTCTCCCTAGGGCAAAGGGAGACCCCTGGGATCACCTACGTGGTCCAGGGAAGGCATTGCTCCAGGGTCCCGTTGGGCGAGAAGGTCCCCAGTGAGCAGTTGGCACACACTGTGTCCTGGCTATCTGTACCTGGGGGTGGAGAGGGATAGGCAGAGGGGCCATGGGCTCCAGGCCAGGTGGAAACTGGGCTTCCCTGGGGCGGGGCCTGGGGTCTGTCTCTTCTGGGACTTGCATTTCCTGAAGGACTGGGTTATGGTGGGGATGGTGTTTGGAACTGTCCTGGTCATCCAGAGGCAGGGAATCAGATCCCAGGGTCCCCTGGGCCTTCCTTCCATAGGTGATACGACACTGGGTGGGAGCTGGGGGTCACACTTCACACCCAGGGAGCATGGTGCCCTGACCACAGGCCACCCCATCCACCTGGGCTCCCCGCCTGGTGTGTGAGAGAAGTGGGAGGACTCAGGGCCTGACCACGAGGTGAGGCCACCAGGGCCACTCCCCCCGCTCTCCCCTGCTGCAGGGCCTCCCTCCTTTCTTGCTGCCAGGACAGGGCTGGGAGGGTTGGGCCTGGTCTGGCCAAGATTTCTGTCCCTTTAAAGACCCCCAAGCTGGCCATGATGTCCAGGGCATCAGGGGCTCAGGCAGCAGGGTGGCTGGGAATGAAGGTGAGTTTGGGGTAGACGCCTCCGACCGGCTCACCTCTCCTCTGTACCCTCTGGCCAGGGTGGCAGATGGTGTGGGGCAAGCACATGATACAGTGGTCCCTGTCCTCGGCCTCGCAGAAATAGCCTTGGCGACAGCCGCACACCGTGTCCTGCATGCTGGAGCACTTCTGCCTGGTGTCCAAGCCCAAGGCTGGAACCCAAGAGAGCCTCTGAGAGCGAGGAAGCTGCCGGGGCCAAGGAGTGTCCCTTCCAATGGGAGGGTGGAACTGGACAGCTCCGGAGGGCTAGGGGCTCGGCCCCAGGCCCGGGGAGGGCTGGGGATGGGGAGCACTCGGGGCCCCAACGCTGCCAGTTTCTGAGGTGCTGGACACAGAGGGCCAAGGAGGAAGACAGACCACAGGGC